ACTCAAGTGCAGGCAATGAGCTAATAAAACATTTACTTTTCAATTTAATGACCTTCTCCATATTCTCCACTTATATCTACTAGGTAGAGTTGAAGTAAATGTTCTGGCTATAGCCCATCCAGGGAGAACTGGTGCCAACATCATTATTTTATGTCGCCTGCTAGTAGCAAGTGAGCAAGGAATACAACGGACAGCTTTGCAGTAGCCAAATGCAGATGATTACCTCGCTCTGGCAAATGATTTCATTAAAGGTTCAGAGGACTGGATGGAAAGATGGATAGGGAAGGAATCTTTCAGGACACTGAAGTCTCTGGGTTAGTAAGGAACTCCTCTCCCTCTTCCCCCTCTTGGTGGGACTCTTGTAGGCCCTCGATAGAGTTTTCCATAAGCAGAAGACTGAGCTGGGGCCCCCCAGTGAAGGCCTGCTCCTGAGCTGCTGGCCCCAGTGGTTCCTGGACCCAGCTCCCCATAGTTTTGCAGTTTGGTCTCTGCATGTACCACAGAGTTGCTGCTTCCCTCAGCCTTCAGGAATGGTTGCCCGACCGAGTGTAATGCTAAGGGGACCCTGGCAAAACGGAGGTCCTGGTCCCCTGGGAACTGCACTGACCCTGTGCCCTGGTAATTGCTGGACTCCCCAAGGTGGCTCACAGAGCCTGAGAAGGTCCTGTTCTTCACCAGGGTCTGGACCAAGGATTCTGTCAAGGCTGGACCAGAGTTGCGTTCATCAGTGTCAGTGGCATTGAACCCTGTTTCAGGCCCATCAGTGTTTCCGTAAGTCCTGTTTGGATGGGGTCGGGTGGAGTACTCCATTGGTCTCATGGCCTGGTGCTCATGTGGCAGGTGGCCAGGAGGCTCTGCTTCAGGCTGGGATAAAAGTTGCAGCAAGGCGGCTGTCACGGCTGGGTTCAACTCCTGGGGCCCGCTGGAAAGATCGCCTTCAACCAGAGGGGGTGGAGGTGGCGGCGGTGGAGGTCCGGGGGGCTCAGGGGGCCTCTTCTCTGGTGGAAGAATGTGAGGAGGACATGCTGTGGAAGGGTTACTTCTTTTAAACACCATCTTAAAAATCACATGTGATTATAAACACAAACACACACACGCACACACTGCCCAACATAAACAAATATTAATACAAGTAACCAAATATATAAAGAATAAAATCTTGGGATCAGGAAATTGCAATTTATAAATAAAATCAAGTGATTAAAAGTAAAACAGTTGCATTCTGGATCTAACAGCTGGTGTAAAAAGATCACATTTTTCAAATGATTATCCTGATTTTTGTCTGAGATTTCCTTCCTTAAAGAACTGTTCTAATATGTAGGCTGCTGGCAGCCTCTCTGCCTCTTTTTGCTGTCAGATCAAAACATTAATGAAAACAAAGCAGAACAAAGATGAGAGGGAACAATATACATGCTGTGGTCACATTTCTAAGACGTAATCTTGATGTACAACAGAGACCTTTCATGGACTTGGCTAACACATTTTACAGAACGTTTGATGATATAAGGTTAACCTGAAATAGAACTCAAAGAATATACAGGAGAGATGAAATAAAGTAAAAACTTGTCATTACCGTCATGTATAAAAATACACTTGGCTTCTCTAAACTTTAGGCACCTCTCCCCATAACCATATCCTGAAGAAGGGGTATTAAACACCATATTGTCATTCAGCTTCCTATGTTACAGTAATGATAAAGACTAATTTTCTATCATAATTTTCTATTTTATTTTCCTACCTCCTGCATTTTTTTCCAAGCTATGAAAAAAAAATCACTATAGCAATGTCATGCAGAATGGGGCTGTTGATAAATATTTATCTTGGAGACAGTGACAAGAACTGAGTATTTAGAAAGTATCAAACTAATATTATACTCTGTCTTTACAAAGATCTTTCATTTTTCTTGAACCACTTCCCCAGACTTTCTTTTTTTCACTGCTGGCTAAATTTGCTTAGGCATGATAATCATTGTCTGAAAATGAACTCCTGCCAAGGCAGGAGAGGAGAGATGTAAAATGGCATGAGTTTGAGGACATACAAAACTACTGAGATAGAAGCACAGTCAGAACAGTGCCCTTTAGCGAACTGGGAATCACCCTGCTGAAGAAATGGTTTAATGTTTTGGGATAGCTTTCAAACAACCAATTTTTCTTTTTCCTATGGAAGCATATTTTTAAATGTTCATTTAGTCATTCTTTCATTATCTAAGCTGTGATGTAAAGTTATTACTCAGACAAGCCCCAAACAATCTTTAGTTATAATTAGTTATTTTTGTAGCATATTTACCTTAAGTATACTTTGCAAAGACAATCAGTAAGTTTGCATTCCCTTAGCATGCAGATGAAAACATTCTGAAAACACTATAAAATTATAAGGTTGTACAGGAGAAAGATGAGGTCAGGTGCTATACGTAACATACAAGTAGGGTGACCAACAGTCCTAGTTTGCCCAGGACTGAGAAGGTTTCTAAGTTACCAACTTCAGCTTTAAAACCAGAACAGCTCAGGGATAAGTTGGTCACCCTACATACAGTATTAACTCAAATTACTTGTTGACTGATTGACTGGGTGGCAGGGGAAAATGAATTTAAAGATAAAAAAATTAGCTGTGGAAAATTCACAATTTATATAGACATGCTGAAAAAGGAGCGCTAACTGGACTATAATCATCTATGGATTTCAGAGCCTTTTGCTTTGAACACTACGTATCTCTCTATATCCGGACATCACAGTACCAGTTATTTTTAGAAGTATTTTTTGACCATTTAAGAAATGAAACACAGGCTTCTTAATACTGAGGGTAAACAACTTAAAAAATATATAACTGCAGAAGTAGGCAAATCTAAACTTACATTCTTCCAGCTATACCACTTTTCATATTTAAACTTTGCCTTTCATGTAAATAGACTTTCATGTAAATAGTGTTTCAGTAGAACTAATTCTTAGGCTCACATTCTTTCACACACATAAAATGAAAATTCTATTCCAAAGTAGCAAAGCAGATGGATTGTAAAGAACTATTAAAATAAGGTTAATAAAACTTCTTAAAGGAATTAAAAATAAAATATGAATTATAAATCATATTGTCATAAGATTTAAGTGTTAATGTCCTCAATCCTTAACAGTCTGTACTAATAGAGAGAAGTATTATTGAAATGTAAGAATAACTTAAAAACTTCATTGGACTTAATAGATTTCAACCAACACCCTTTCCCATTAAGCACAGAATAGCAAAACAGTAACCAAATTGACAGGTTGTCACCTTCTCTGGCTTATCCAGTCTGCCCTCTGGTGGAAGTGCTAATGAACAGTGAAACGGCCAAATAAGAGGCAGCAGGGGAGAAAAAAGAACAGGGAAGACACTGTAGAGGCACTAACTAAATAATCCAGGAGTGACTGTAATAATTAATTATTGTATTTTTATAGCCTTCTCCAAAAAGTAAAACCAACCACTACTGGCCACAGGCTAGGCCTTAATTTTACTTTAATTTCACCATTTGGCTGATAGTTTGTTGGCTCAATTATTGGGTGAATTTCTTTCAATCACCATCCTATTTAACTCGAACCACTTCTTTCAGGTATTTTGATCACAGCTAAATTTTTTTGTGTGTGTGTGGGTGGAGGGAGGTGTTCAGATTCCAGGAGATGAGGCAAAAAGGCCTGCTTTAATTCTAGATTAGCCTTTTCTATTACTCCATGTCCTAGACCTATAGACTCTCTTAAAAACAATTGGAATCATCATGACATATAGCAAAATGAATTAAGAAACATGAGTGAAAGAGTCCTAGTTCTTGCCTTTGCCAATAACCAGCAATGGGACCATGGGAAGACTTTAAATTTAAACTCCTTGGATTGCAGTTCTCCTATCTGTAAAGTAAGATGTTAATTTTCTTTGTCTTTATAAGTTTTAAAAGTCTTTATATATGAAAAATAGCATATGTATTTGATCCTATGCCAGCAAAAATAAAGCATATATTTTCTGCACCATCCATATGAAATGTGAATACAGGACTCTATAGTTGAGAATTAGTATACTTCTTCAGCCCTTGTGTCTCTTCTTATTTCCCAATTCAGAGAGTCTTCATAGAAAGTGAAAGTTTCCAAGGAGTTAAAAAAAACACTCTGTTAAGTAAAGATTTTGCAAATAGACTGTGAATCAGAATTGATTAGAGTACTTAAACTTCTTTTTCCTCTATTACATTGCATGCTGTGGTCATGTGAGATCAAGTTGTAACATATTCCCCTTTTTCAGACTTTTTTTTGGAGACAGGGTCTTGCTATGTTGCCCAGGCTGGTTTCAAACTCCTGGGCTCAAGTGACCCTCATGCCTCAGCCTCCTGAGCAGCTGGGACTATAGGCATACACTTTTTTTCTTTATAAAATGCTCATTTCCTGATCTGAGGTCCATTCAATTATTTCTTTCAGAAACACACATTTAAAGGAATTGTTTTTATATGCTATTATTTTTTGGAAAAGAAATGCAAGGTGTTAATTATCTACTTTGAAATACTCCCCAATTATTCTTCAGGAAATTAACAATGATATTTTATTAGGATTTTCTTGATTGTATCTTCCAGGCAAGACTCTGGTATCCAGCATCCATTCCGCTAGAGGTAAAGAAGTACAATCTGATAATGGTTTGTTTGGAATTCAAGACTTTCAAGCACTAGGACTAGCTGTGGCTACCACACACACACAGTGGGTTCAAGATACATGACTGGCTACAGTTGTCATTTCCTTGGTTATAGAACACAAGGGCTTTACTTACCTACCTTCTAGGAAGTGAAAAAACAATCAGTATATGAAAGGTGCTTTGAGAAGCTATGAGACTTAAATTAAAGAAGCTGGCAAGAAATACATCACTTGGTGCTATGTTCTCCTGTAGACTAGGTTACAGAAAAACAGAAACAGGCCACCGATGTGAAAAAGAAAATGTTAAAGAGATTTTTAAGAGGATCAACAGCACCTGAGCTCAATGAGATTCATGACCGGTCTGTTTACCTGCTGCCTCCTCCTGTGGCATTGTGGGAGTTCTTCGGGGCCCCTGTGGCCCACTGTTCTTGTCACTGTTGTTTTCCTCCAGGCTGCCTGCTGGCTCTTGGGTTTTCATCAGCTGACTCAATAGAACTGCCAACATATTCTGCACGTCAGCTGGTGTGCTTGAAGCTTCAGGGGTTGTCTGTTCTGCTGAAGGCAGGGCCACTGGGGCAGAAGGTGCTTCCTTCAAAGACTCCTCTGGAGCTATGGGCTCTGAGTCCTGCTGCTGGGAAGTAGCTTCCGTTAGGGCACTGATGGATTGGTTCAGGGCTTCCAGCTGCTGCTGCATTTCTGGATTGGAGTGGATGTTAAGCAGCTGTGCCATTTGAGGGACGCTCAGGTCGGTTTGGCTCTGCAGCAGGTTCAATAACACTGCCAATTCACTTTGATTCAGCTGTTGTGTGATGTCACCGAGGCCTGTGGAGAAACAGTACAGCCAATATAAGAGGATGAGGCAGGGCAAGGGCCCTTTGCCTTCTTCAACTGGCAATAGCAACTTATATCTAAAGAAGGATGTTTTATTTTAAATGTCTCATTTTTCATGTCTGAGATTATCATGACACAGTTATTCTTTATGCTTTCACTTAAAATACTAAGTCTAAAATATCTCTGCATTATGCATAAAAATGATTTCATTTTATCTGTATTCTTCAAGGTTAGTGATTTTCAACCCTTAATACATATCAGAATTACTAGGAGAGATTTTAAAATTCAGATCCTTCAAGGTTCATCTCGAGAGATCTGGCAATTATATGGTAGTATTTGTTTTTAAAGCTTCATGGATGATTCTAATGTGTAGCCAGAGTTGAGAACCGCTGTTGTAGGTGGACAGGGAAGGGAAAGTGAAAAAGAAAAAGAATATCTGTAGTTCACAAAACCTGGTGGTACAACAGGGGAACTACTGTGTTACAACAGCTCATTATGACACAGTTTTAGAGATATTTAGACCACATAAAAGTCTACAGAACAAACTACATTTAGCAATTACAATGTAGCATATTAAATTCTAAGAAGGTCTTATCAAATCTAACAAACAGGACTCCAAATTATGTGTTTTAGAAAGTCATGGATGAACTAACTTTAAATCTGTCTTACCTAACTCACTGACTTATGCCACATATCTAATTGAGATACAGTGTTCCTCATTTCAGGAAAAGAAAATAATCTATTATAGACTTTCTGGATCACATGTACAAAACTTGGTTTATCTCCTCCCCATGAGGACATTAACCTCTTTCCTAATGGTTCACTAGACAAAAACTAAAAGACATAGGCTCACACTCCTTGCATTTGACCTTCAAAATCTGCTTACTAGAAGCACAAAGGCTCCATGCCAGCACTGACCTATTGCATCCCCAGCTCCAGGTTCCACCTTGCTGGGAGCAGGCTGAGGTGGTGCTGGGCTGCTGTTCTTCACAGGCTCAGCACTCGTTGCTGAGGTAGTTTCTTTTCGAGAGGCTTTGGATGGAGGTGGCTCTTCTACCATAACACCACTTTGTCGCTGACGGCGGCGTTTCTTACTCCATAATTCATGGCAATCTTGCCAGTGGGGGAGGCTAGAAAAAGACAAAGCAAAAGGAAAATGTGTATGGGAATGTGGTAGTGAGTAAATGGAAGGGCAAGGGATTAAAATGGAAGGCAAAGAGTGTAGGAAATGGAAAGAATAAGGAAAACATAAAAATAACCAGAAAAGTTAGTAAGTAGATTGTAGCAGTGTAAAAGGAATCATGGCAGATGATAGTCTGAGGAAATGAATTCCAAAAGGTTTATATAGTGAGAAATGGGGATCTTGTTAATATGAGGGACACAACTGCTATATAAACTCAGATATTCTAGTCAAATACTGTTCTTCCTTGGCATAGCAAGAATAAAGGAGAACTTAAATGGTCAGTTTTCAGTTGGGAATAAATAGGACAGAAATGACTGGCTTATTAATATCTATGTCTAGGAAAAGTGGTGACTTAAATCTTGGAACCATATATCATAATTAAACCACATCTTATGTGTTATCTGGTCTATCTTTGTGAAGACCAAAGACTGTTTCTTTCCTCTTTCTGCCAACTGAATTTCTACAACTGCTTATCAACTTTTTTTTTCATATATGAAGTTTAGCACTATGCATTATTTAGTATATTTCCTGACAACCACATATTCAACAATACAAACAGTGCAAGCAGGTCAAATCTTACAACAAAATCTCTCTATAGGGGGAGGAGGGGCATGGGCAATATATGTAACCTTAACACCTGTACACCCATAATATGCTAAAAAAAAATATATATATATCTATAACAAAAGTTACCAAATTTCAGTAAAAAGCTTATGTATTTCAAGCCACATTCAGTATACCAAAATTCTAGTGCAATAATTGAATTTGGGGCCAGGTGTGGTGACTGTCAGTGATGAATTCAAAGAGAAAGACTTTTTATGTTCCAGAATATGGGATTTGAGTGTAGAACCCCTCTGGAGTCCTATAAAATACAGGAAATTCGTAAGATTCTAACGAAAGAGTGAGACATGCAAAGAACATATTTTTTTTTTTTTTTTTTTTTTGAGACAGAGTCTCGCTTTGTTGCCCAGGCTAGAGTGAGTGCCGTGGCGTCAGCCTAGCTCACAGCAACCTCAAACTCCTGGGCTCAAGCAATCCTCCTGCCTCAGCCTTCCAAAAAACCTATTATTTTGAGTGTCTTATCTCCAGAAGCCTAGGAGGAGGTTTAGGGTAATGACATGGACACCAGCACTTACTCTGGAGGAGCCATTTTGCTGAGCTCAACATCTTTAAGGAAGTCACTCTGTAGGGTCTGTTCAGCTGTGCAACGCTTGCTAGGATCTAGTGTCAGCATGTGGTCTAATAAATCAAGTGCTGCTGAAGGAATGCTGTGGAAAGGAACAGTGAAAGGACAAGTTCACAATGACCCCACAGTTTTCAAACCTGTAACCTTATATCAAAAGGTCTGAATTTTCAGCTCCATGTAAAACAGAGGAAAGGGATTTGGAAGGTGGCAAATGCAAGCAAGCAGATTTGCTTCCACATGGAATTTCATAAATACTATTAACATATCTAAGAAACATGAAGCCAACAGTTCTGCTCTCTTTTTTCCTTGGGAAGATCAAAAGGACTATGAAAAAGTTTCCATATTGTTCAAAATAAAACCATTTTCTATTGTCTAAAGCCTTCAGAAGAAAAAATTACAAAAGGGCTATGATTAAAATCACATACTGTTCAAATATAAAATGTTTTTCTACTGTGACAACAATAACTCCCCAAACCAGGAAGAAGTCAAGTCCCAACTCCAGCCAGATAGAGAAATGAGATGCACATTTTGCCAAACTCACAAAGAGAATTCTTCTCGTAGACGCCTTCTATATTGCTTCTTCGGTTTCATGGTGTTGAAGTAGGGCAGCTTGATAACATCAGGCCACACAGCTGGACAAGGGCTACCACAGAGTCGGCTAAAAACAAAGCAGAATGCAAGAGCAAGGAAGTAAATGAGTCAGCATCATGAATTCTGGAGGCTGTAGAAGCAGAAATTATTACCTCCTGAAGTCTGGGGAATCTTTGCTTATTATATCACAGGGCGTACAGAAGGTAAAATATGACCTTACTGCTTTTTAAGGACAGAAGGAATAGGACAGAAAGAACTGGTTATAAGATAGCGAAGAAAAAACACTTGCATAATAATGCAAAATGATCCGCATTATTTGGATTCATAAAGCATGTTTTTAATACCCCACACAGCTTTTAATTACTAATTTTATTCAGTTCAGTTAGTATTAATTTCAAAGGGATGAGCTGGTCTATTAGTGTCCTTACAGTGAAAGCTGCAAGAAGAGAGCTAAGACTGGAAATTTTGATAGTTAACTATGGATTTATTACATAACAAATAATGAGTTATACATCACCTTTTAAGAAAGGTCTACATTAAAAAAAACAAAGAATAAAAAGTGTCTACATTAGCCTGCTGCATTCTTCCCTTTAATTTTATTGGGGAAAAAAAAAAAACCAAACCAAATTTCATCCTAACTCTAGGCCTTCCCCAAATCTTCCATTATGAATTCTATTTTTTGTAACTCTTTACATGATGTATACCTTACTAAGTTCTTTGAAGGCAGGGACCTAAGCTATTATCTCTAAATCCTAAAGTTTAAAGAATAATAATCTGTTATAAAATAGGCTCACTAAATGTTTGCTGAATAAATTTAATCTTACCTAAGAACAGCCACCCTAAAAATGGCATGCTTTTATATGAAGAATAAGTAATTAAAAATATGCAAGGTAAGACCTAAAAATTAAGTGGAATATAATTTCTTTGTATGTATAGTCCAGGACAAAATATATGGCAAACCTGACTGAGTGAAGAGAAGCTTACTTGGACATAAAGACCATAAAATCATTCAGAATGACTAAAAAGTGTTAGAAATTAGAAGATGGGATTACCTATCACACCTGGGTACTCAAGAGCACATGCACAGCTGTACCTGATCAGTTCTAGCTGAGCCAGTTCCAGATTGGCTTGAAAAATAGGCTTCTTTGTGAACAGTTCCCCAAGGATACATCTAGAAAAGGTAACATTGAGAGGTCAGAAGAGAAATCCCTGGAGTCTATTTAAAGTATATCTCAATAAACTTATAAAATATACCAGGCTGCATCCAATATACCATGTTGTAAACGAGCCCAAAACTTCAATGTCTGAGTTTCCTAAAAAAAATATTTCTTACAGTGAAAACAGACAGTATAAAGGATTTAAATTTGCCAGCAGATAAAACTTTTGCCACCTATAAAGGACAGTCTGTAAGCAGAGAAAGGGAGTCAAGAGTTCTTTTCTATCATACCATTGTAAAGTAAGGAAATAACTAAAGACAATTTTACAAGGATGCTTATCAGTTTCTAATAAAGGTGTATTAGTTTTTGTCATTAATCTGCTCTGTAGAATATGCACTATACAATAGCCCTCTTGGCACACTATTAGAAGGAAGTCACCTGTCAGTTTCAGTAGAACTTTCAAATAAATTATGTTTAAACACCTCTGCCATTTTGAAAAGGACTTTCAAAACTATATGGACACATTTGCATAGTCTCAAAGTATCTCCCCACAAATTACTTATTAGTTACAAAAGAAAAACTAGTAACTATAATAGTAAGGAAAGAAGACAAGTTAACTAAGTGATAAAATTAACATCCCCAATAAGCGGCAAACAGTCCATGTAAGTCGAGATATGACTAAGAACATAACGTTCCTTATGGAATATTGCAGCCCCAAATACATAACCTGAATATATATAGTAACTGCTCTGTATTCTTCAAAAATGTACACGTCATGAAAGACAAAGAAAGGCTAAAGAACTGTTCCAGGCCAGGTGCAGTGGCTCACACCTGTAATCCTAACACTTGGAGAGGCCAAGGCCAGAGGACTGCTTGATGCCAGGAATTTAAGACCCTCCTGAGCAGGAGTGAGAAGCCACCTCTACAAAAAATAGAAAAATTAGCTGAGTGTGGTGGTGCATGCCTGTAGTCCCAGCTACTTGAGTGGCTGAGGCACGAGGATCACTTCTTGAGCCTAGGAGTTTGAGGATGCAGTAAGCGATGATGAGGCCACTGAACTCTAGCCTGGTTAACAGAGTGAGACCCTGTCTCAACAAAAAGGTGGGGAACCTGCAGCCTTCTGATTTATACCCCCATATTACGAAATGTTAAAAAAAAAAAAAGCTTTTTTCTGCTGTACTCCTTTTAATAAAAGGATTTGTTCTATAAAATTTGGATTTAGTCAGAAAGCCGCACTCAAGGATTGAGAAGGCCACAGGTTCCCCACTCTATGCAACTACCTTCAAACAGTTCTGGAAAAAAATATGTGGTATATGTATATACAAACATGTATTTTATGTATGTGTTATATTATACAATATATATGATATATGTGCAAATGTGGCAAGATGTTAGAAATTAGGGAATCTATCACAAATGAATCTTCAAATAATTTATGCTGATTAAAAGATGGCATAAGGGAAGGATAAGAGTATATAATGTAATTCCATTTATATAAAATTCTAGAAATGGAAATTAATCTGTAGTGACAGAAAGGAGGACAGTAGTTTGCCTGTGTGTGGGGGGAGAACAAAGTTATTACAAAGGGGCACAAGGAAACTTTTGGGGGGTGATCATTACCTTGGTTGTGGTGATGGTTTACTGATGGATACATTATATCAAAATTTACTAAATGTACACTTTAAATATATGCAGTTATTGTATAGTTCAGTAAAAAGCTTTACAAAATTAAGTGAATCTGCATAAGGCCATACTAAAGTTCTCTATACTATTCTAGCAACTTTTCCATAAATCTGAAATTATTTTAAAATAAATTTAAAATAAAAAATATTACAGGAATACTTTATACTTTTAATGTGCCTGAAATATTTCATTTTTTTTAAAGTGGGGAAGCTGGGCATGGTATTGGGTGCCTGCAGTCCCAGCTACTCAAGACGCTAAGGCAAGAGTATTGCTTTAGCCCAGGAATTCAAGACCAGCCTGGACAACATAGCGAGTTTGAGGTTACATATGACTGGGACATTGCACTATGAACCTGGGTGAAACACTGAGACCATGTCTCTTAAAAGAAAGAAGGGGAGGGGAGGGGAAGAGAAGAGAGGAGAAGAGAAAAAAAGCAGCAGGGGGGGAGCGGGCACTGGGGGCTCATGCCTATAATCCTAGCTCTCTGGGAGGCCAAGGCGGGCAGATTGCTCAAAGATCTCAAGTTCAAAACCAGCCTGAGCAAGAGCAAGACCCATCTCTACTAAAAATAGAAACAAATTAATTGGCCAACTAAAATATATATATATATATATATAAAAAAAATTAGCCAGGTATGGTGGCGAATGCCTGTAGCCCCAGCTACTTAGGAGGCTGAGGCAGGAGGATTGCTTGAGCCCAGGAGTTTGAGGTTGCTGTAGCTAGGCTGATGCCATGGCACTCTAGCCCAGACAACAGAGTGAGACTCTGTCTCAAAAAAAAGAAAGAAAAAAAGGAGGGAAAAGAAAAGAAAAGAAAGGACAATTAATCTCTTCTTTGATGTGTGCTTTAAAATGAGACTTATTTACAAATAATCACAAAACCAAATTTTTTTTTTTTTTTTTTTTTGAGACAGAGTCTCCCTTTGTTGTCCAGGCTAGAGTGAGTGCCGTGGCGTCAGCCTAGCTCACAGCAACCTCAAACTCCTGGGCTCCAGTGATCCTTCTGCCTCAGCCAAAAACCCCCACGAGTAGAATCCTACTCAGAATTATTACACATCACATTGCATAGGAAAGGTATGGCTGAAATATTGATTGTGTTCCCTTACGACCTTCTTCCAATTTGCTAGGTTGATTTTACCACTATTGAGGGAGTTTCCTAGCATACCTCCATAGATGCGTGCAAGTCCATATTATGTAGTGAATTGATAAGTGAGGGTGAACTTACGTTTTTTGGGGTAGGCATCAACCATCTTTGGCATGGACTGCGCCGCAATCTTTTTTTGCTTTTAATGTGCGTTATGCACTATTCACCATTTAGAGCCACACATGAAATACCTCTGATAAAGTGAGATACTTTAATCGTTACCTGATCTATAATATGTAAGAATTTGTACGTTCCTCATTTATGGTCGCTCGTTCAACTGTCGCCCCAGTCTTGGCCAGTTGAGCCTTTTTCAGGTTACTTACTCTGAGTCTTTTGATCACGACATAAATTGCATGTGTCTTGCATTTAAGATATGATTTATTCTTTAAGGTCAAATAATTACTCAGACAAAATAATCTTCCTATCAAGTCTTTGTTTCTTGTTTTCAAATATATGGCTCATCCTGTTCTGATTTCCAGTCCACCTTCATATGATTTAAATCTTTTTTCCCTCAGTCTCTGTCCTCTCTCCTCAAAAATATCAGCCCTGGCTGGATGTGGTTGATGGGCTTTTTTTCAACGCTATAATCCTAACACTTTTGGTGGCTTGTAGGAAGCAGTGGGCCATATGGTCTCTAAAGGAAACCTCTTATTCTCGTTTTAGTATTGAAGGTTCCAAGTCATTTACGAGACTACAATTAGTGTGTAGAGTTTGGAGGCTCCGATTAGTTCAATTCAGGTTCATCGGTTATGGTTAAATTTTTAGTGTCATAGAAATGTGTCTGTGTATGATTATGCCCACCCATACACGGTCTTCGTCTCTACCTTAACTTTTTAAAAGGAATCCTCGCCGCATCTACTTTAGGTGGGATAATTCCGGACTAGCCTGTTAGTTCTATAGCTATACTTGGGCAACGTTCGCACAAGCTAAGGAGCATGATGCGGGAAACCTGCATTGAGCAAGATTGAGGTTACAGTGAGCTAATGATCATGTCCCATTTTTTCACTGCTTGCACTCCTCCCTTCCTCCGGGCAATATAGTCTATTGGTACTACTTGTCACACAAAAACAAAACTCGATACAAAAGACATACTTTAAGAAGAGCACTCTATCAAAGAGGCCTTTCTATTTCCTTCATACCATATTCACAGAGGACGCAGGTCAGGGGAATCTTGAGGAGAAATAGGGTATATTCACCTTAAAGTTAGTGGGTTTGCTTTGAGATTAGACTCATAATGTAGGACCTCAACCAGATTACTTCGGCCACATCAATCTGTGGCCCTAATGTCGCTAAATTGGCTGTTACCTGGCCTTTTACCAAGCTGGGTGTTTAGCTTTGTTTGTGTTTCTGGACTTAATTTGCTTTAACACTGGTATATATGGTAAGCATGAATCTATAATTTCGTTCACTACCTAGACCTCACTATATCGCTGCTCTGACATCGTTATAACACCCCAGATTCTAGAGAGTATGTTCGAGATTACATGAGCTGGAAAAGTTCATAGCTCTGTTTCTGGTACTATTATCTTACGACGTCTTGTCATTGCTACACACTGCCTGAAACCTTTATCAGTGGGAAGATACAAAGATGAGTTTCAGTGTCCTTATATACATCAGGAGACGTAAGATGTCTTCCCACCTAAGGACTGACAAGGATCACTACACTTTAATTTCACTCAAAGCATTATACACAATACCACTCAGCTCTTGGGCATACAAGAATGCATAACCCCCTATAAGAAATATAGATGCCATCCCCTTAACACAGACCTCTTCTTTATATAGATCAGGGCGACACTAATAAGGGGTCAGTGAGGTTCCAGTAGGCCCTTCCTTTAAGGCCAAATTCCTCCATTTTAGAGTTAGAGAATTATGATTGACGGATCGACATACTTTTTTCTTGTATTCTCTGAAGTATATACCAGAAGTATCTCACTTTGGTTGCACGCAGACTGGCCTGAGTTGGAGTCGCACGTTGTAGGCGGAGCGCGCGAGCGGCGAGCAAACGTCGAAACTTCCTGGGCTCAGCAATCTTTCTATGACCTTAGAGGCTCACTGCATTCTAGGTAGTGCACTACAGGGCATGCGCCACCCAAGCCCACCTTGCCTCAGGACACCTAGTTTTTTTCTATATGTATTAGTGCCCAATTTGGACATTTTTGCCTCTCTCTATGAGAGTCTACGTCATAGAGTAACTAGGTTCTTATATGTGTGCTCAGTACTGCAGAGTTCTTAACATCGACACCGTCGTGCAGCGAAATCTGACCCACCCAGACATGTGTGAAAACCATCTCGGGCCTCCCAGAGTGTTAGGATTACAGGCGTGAGCCACTGCTCCTGGCCTTTGCTTGACTTTTGAAATCAGCTTACTACTTTGATGATCCATGGTAGTCTCTCCAAAGATAATTCTTTGGAATATTCTTTATAGAGAATTGGTATACACCGCGGCCATAGAAATAAATGTCCAATCAATTCGTACACTCATTTCTGTTCTCTCCCCTACTTTAGGGACTGGTATGTGCACTGTAAGAAGCATGGTGGAGGGGTGAAACATCCAGTCTTCTCCATTCCAAAGTTGGAAAGGAAGAGACAGTGAGACCATGAGCTACTTGCTTCTATATTGTTTTTTTTTTTTTTTTTTTGTCTTCCCTCTTACGATCGATGCACTTGCAAATCTAGCAGGCGAACTAGCTCCCAGACTAAGTACGAGCCTATGAGATTTTGTATTCGTCGCTTATGCGATGCGGAGTGAGAGGAGTTCTCATTTCGAATAGGTAATGGATATTGTTCGCTCGTGTTTTCCTAGGTGCCGTTGTCTGGTGTGTTTGTCTCTTTTTATTTTCTTTCTTTATTTGTCGGCGTAGGTACTCCACTGCTGTCAGTTGAGCTCACCCTGCATGCACTAAAAGTGTCCGTGCGACCCTACCCCTCATAATCCCAAGCCCCATCATTATGATATAAATACCGGTGCATAACTCTGGCTCAAGTGACCTCCTGGCCCTCACTAGCCTTTATGGCTTCCCACCTGGGAGCAGGTAAGTCAGACATGATACAGGATCTCCTCAGGTGCCAACCGAGGACGACGATGGCTAATGCCTTATCTCAATTAATCTAATATTAGCCTTGATGAATGTTTAGGAGATCCATCTAGAGTGATTTGCTTTCACACAGGGCTAATTGGGTACACTCCTACGCCGCTGATACTCTAATTCTCATAGCTCATTGAAAATACCTGGCGGCATGCCAGATCATGGGCATACACCAAGCATGTTAGCTTAGGATTTACAATATACATCTGATGCACAGCAGCTCATGCTACCTTAGCTCTTGAGTTCATGATTCGTCTTACTAACTCTCTCAGACCAAGTTTTCATGGAGAATCTATTCCATCTTCGGCTTGGAGCTTGATTTGGCAGTTAATATTGAAAATAGAATTAAGTTTTACTTTTACTTTTTCATCTCTGAATAGAGTTTGAGAGAATATTGAAAGTTAGAATTTATCTTTTGTCATTTTAAGTTAATAAATTCTAACAGTAAGGTGCAAATTACTTAAAAAGCTAGGTATGTTTTGTTTTCTTAAATGAAGTCAAGCTAAAGGATTTTAAAATTTGGTTTTGTGAGGCCGGGCGCTGTGGCTCACGCCTGTAATCCTAGCTCTTGGGAGGCCGAGGCGGGCGGATTGCTCAAGGTCAGGAGTTCAAAACCAGCCTGAGCAAGAGCGAGACCCCGTCTCTACTATAAATAGAAAGAAATTAATTGGCCAACTGATATATATATAAAAAA